GGCGACTTCCCGCGGCCGGCGGCCGAGAGGTGACTCGGCCGGCTCCGCGCGTCCGGCGAGGCTTCCGCCACCGGCGACAGGCCCAGCGTGGCGACGCGACAGAGCGGTGTGCGCGACCTTTCACTTAATCAGCCCGACCCCAGACGCTGCTGTGGGGCTGCCCGGCCTGGTGTGTGCGTTCGCCTGTGCTGAGTGCGCGCGCACATGCATGTGTGTGCGTGTGCACGAGCGTTCGTGTGCATGCGGGTGAGCATGTGTGTGAACCATGCACAGTTGAAGGGTGATTTCTAGGGTTGACGTTTGCCCACCAGCGAGACAATGTCTTGTTGTCAGTCCTCGGAAAGTCCCTAGAAATCCGGACTGGCCCTGAAGTCAGGAGGGCTTGCGGTCCTACCCTGTGGCTGCCCTGCTCAGGTCCAAGGAGGGTTTCAGCAAAACGCCCCCAGGCCCGCCCTTCCTCGTGTGGATGTGCTACTTAAGTGTGCGTGGCGCGTGTGCATATGGCGTGGTGTGCATGTGTGGTATATGTGAGGTATGCGTGCATGTCGGGTGTGTGGTGTGATGTGTATATTTGGTGTGTGTGCACATGTAGTGTGTATTTATGTTGTGTGTGTGTGGTGTATGTAAGGTGTATGTGGTGTGTGTGCTGTGTATGCACATGGTGCGGTGTGAGGTCTGCATGCGTGGTGTATGTGGGCTGTATGTATGTATGTGTGAGCTGTGGGTGTGTGTGGGGTGTGTATGTGGTGTGTGTGCTATGTGTACTGTGTATGTATGTGCTGTGGTGTAAGATGTGTGGTGTGTATGGGGTGGTGCATGTGTATGTGATGTGTGTGGTGTGTGTATGTGGTGTGTGTGGTGTCTGATGTGTGTGCTGTAGTGTGCATGTGTGGTGTGGGTGTGATGTGTGTGTGCTGGGTATGTATGTGTGTGGTGTGGTGTGTGTATGCGGTGTGTGTGGTGTCTGGTGTGTGTGCTGTGGTGTGTGTGGTGTGTGTGCTGTAGTGTGTGGTGAATGTATGTGTTCTGATGTGGTGCGTATGACATATGTGTGTGTGTGGTGTGTGTGCTGTAGTGTGTGGTGAATGTATGTGTTCTGATGTGGTGCGTATGACATATGTGTGTGTGTGGTGTGTGGTGTGTGATGTGTATGTGTGATGTGTGAGCTGTGGGTGTATAGTGTAGTGTGGTGTGGGACGTATGTGCTGCCGTGTATGGGTGTTGTGTATGTGTGACATGTGAGGTGCAGTGTGTGTGGGGTGTGTGTGTGACATGTGAGGTGTGGTGTGTGTGAGAAGTGTGGGGGGTGTGTGATGTGCATGGTGTGTGTGGTATATGTGTGATGTGTGTGACACCCTGCCCTCGCAGACAGAACACGGTGGTTGGGAGGTGCAGGAGATTCTCCACAGCCGGCCTCCCGGCACCATGAACCTACGCCAGCCTGTGCTGGGCCTGTGTTCGCAGCAGCTGTACTAGGGGATTTGACCTAAGCTGGGTTGGATGGCCATGAGCTTGTAGCCTTTTCTGACCTATCAGGAGTCCACTGATGAGCAGTGGTTGGTGACATGGGTGGGCATTCTGGCCCAGAATCAGTGGGCCCCAATCTTCTTTGAGGAGGAAGGACCTGGACGGTGGGGGGACAGAGAACGCTGGTGCGGACAGAGCAGGCAGCCGGAGGGGAGGTGTGGCCGGGGGGGTCTGCCTCCAGGCGCAGGACTAGGTGGCTCCACTGGGCTGTCCACCCGCTGCCACTCAGCCCTCGGGCTCCTGAGGGTCGGGGCCTGCCCTTCTCTTCTCATTTCTTCTGTGGTATCTTAAGCAGAAACAAGGGAAATCCCTTCCTGTGTGGAGGAAGAGTCTAATTACTTTGGGATCTGTAGCCAGACTGATGTAGTTGAATAATTCACGTCCCGCAGGCTGGCCCTGTCGCCAGTACAACGGTGGTGACTGGAAGTGTGGGGGGGGGGCGGGGGGGGGGGCGGG